ATATATATATATATATATATATATATATGCTTTCTTTTTCTCCTTTTCATATTTAGTTCTCTTTTTTTATTATTTATTTTGCCGTTTGTGTTTTCTCTGTTTGCCTCCCCATATCCCCGTCAGTAGGAGTGTAAGAGAATCCAAAAAAAAAAAAAAAAGAACGAGAAGTACATGAGTTCACTATGAGCTCCATTCGGGTTTAACATGCAACTTTTCGTTAAGCCCTAGTCATATATATATATCTATATATACAATATTCGTTTTTTGCGGCTTTTTCTTTACATAAATGTTAATGTATGTGTTTATGAATCTACTCACTCATTCTTCTCCCTGTACTGTAAATATATATATATATATATATATATATTTCTCTTTCTCTCTCTCCTCTTTGTATTAGTGTGTTGTAACCGTAGAAAAAGTAAATATCGAAACACCTTAAGTTTAAAGAAGGAAAATACAAAACAAAAAAAAAAAAAAAAAAACCACTCTCTCTCCACTGAGAGAAGCTGTTTGCCTGTTTTAGTGGTGTTAGTGTGAGTGTGTTTGTAGTTTTTCTCTGTATTCTTCACAAGTGTGGTGTTAGGCGTATGGGAAAACCCTTTATCCCCACTTGTTCCCCATTTCCATTAACACATGAGTGTTGGGGGCGATGTGTTCAATGTTTGTTGAGACCGTGGCAAACAGACGCGGCCAGTGATTTGTACAGACGATATATTTCCACACGGTACTCGGAGCCGCAGCGGCACTATCACACACTTGAGCACCTTGAAGAGATGTTGCGGCAACTGAGAGAATATCAATTAGAGGCGCCTGAGGCCCAGCGACTTCCCAAGAATAGGATGAACACATATCGTCTTCTTATTATGGATTTATCAATACTCTTTCATGATGTTGTGTATAATCCACAGTGTAATGATAATGAGGAACGTAGTGTAGACTGGTTTCAGGACTTCTGGGCAGAGTGCAGTCAGTTGGCATCCGCAGCGACTTCGGAAGATAATGGAAATGATAGGATAACATCATGCGGGGATCCACAAACCCCGCTATTGTGGACTAATGCTGATAATACGGAGCTTGTGAAAACGAAAGTGGAAGAATATATTCTCGCAACGAAACATCACATGTCTGTAAAACCATTATACATCCGCAGCGGTAGTAAGACTGCTGAATTAAAAGAAATAAATAAAGAAGAAATAAATAAAGAAGAAGAAGAGGAAAGGGGTAGGAATGAAGAGTTTCTATCAACCCCACCTGATCTTCATCTATTTCTTGATCTTGATCTTGCCATACTTGGAAGTGATGCTGAGCGATATCAACGTTACGCACGTGAAATACGCAGTGAGTATAATTGGTATAATGATGTGGACTTCTGTCGTGGTCGTTCGGCATTTCTACGGGGATTTTTGGATCATTCACAGTGGTACAAGACAAAGTTTTTCTGCGACAGATTGGAAGATAAAGCCAGATCTAATGTACTGGCAGAAGTAAATGCATTGGAGGCACAAGTGAATCAAACGAAATAAAAAAAAAACCATCACTTGTTATGTACACCTCCTGTACCAAATATGTCCCCCTTTCAAACTAAACACTCTGCAAATACTTTTTTTTTTTTTTTAGTTTTATAATGTGTGTTTGTTTCTTTTTTATTTTATTTGGTTGTTATTGTTGTTTTTGCTGTTAAATCTTTCAGAAAGAAGAATGACTGCTACATTAATGCTGTTTATTTTTCCCTCTTATTGTTGAGGTGTCTGTTATTATTATTATTATTATTATTATTATTATTAAAGTTTCTTTGACTATATATATATATATATATATATATATATATATATATATATATTATCAGACAAGGAAACCAGAAGATTTCTTTTCTCTATATTTTCTCCCATTCATATTTTCTACACCTTCTTCACGAACACCACCACCACTACCATTAGCATTACAACAACAACAACACTAATAGTTATAAGCGCAGCCTAAAAGGCAACAACAAAAAAACTACTACTAGAACCGTTAAATAGTAATCAAAACAAGAGCACATTACTTATTACCATACGTGCAACAAAAGGAAAAACAACAAAAAAAAAAAAAACCCGATACCCTAAACGCATTTCTTCATACATCCTTGATCATGTCTGACTACGACAAGTTTGTGAAGTTGCTTGCCCAGACAGATGGGCGTGATAAGATCTACAAGGCCATTGCCGGTCTTGTGAAGGTGTTGGGGACTGTGGACACTGTCCCTTCCCACCTGAGCACCTACAAGAAGCTCGGCAGCTCCATTGGCGATGGCCGTTCTCTCATGCGTATGGCGAAGTGGGCTGGTGATATTCCCAAGATGCGCTCTGCCCTCGTCCAGTGCCGCGCGAAGGGAGGCATTGATCTGCGCAAGCTGCTGGAGTTCCTGCGTGTGCTTGGCAACTTCCTCTACGTGCTTGGCGACAATGCGGCCTTCCTCTCCCGCCACCGCCTGATCCTCGCCGGCTCCCACAAGCAGCTGCAGAAGCACAGCAAGGTGGCGCAGTTCTGGGGCTTCCTGCTCGCGACGGTCCTCGACCTCCTCGCCCTCCGCGCAGCCCTCCGCCGCCACCGCGAGGGCGACGCGACGACCGCCCGCCGGGAGGCCCGCGCCGCGGCGACGGCACTCGCGAAGGACGCGGCCGACACGCTCGTGACGATGGCGGCCGTCGGGTACCTGCGGGGCGTCTGGCACCCCGGCGCCGCCACCACCGGCAGCCTCACTCTTCTCTCCGGCGCCATCGCCACGCACCTCAACTGGGCAAAGATCAAGTAGAGAGGAAGAGGGAGTAGTAGTAGTCTCTACGTCTCTGTGTCTGTGTGTCTGTGTGATTGTATGTGCAGAAGCGAGGGACTTTTGTGTTTGTTTTTGATTTTGTTTTGTTTTTTTTTGGTTCGTTGGTTTTCTCGGCTTCATGGTCTCCGTGCGTGTGTGTGTCTCCCTGTCCCCTCACCCTACCCCACCCCTCTCTTTCTGGAGAGAAGAAAAAGGAGGAGAGGGGAGAAGAGAAGAGAAGAGAGGAAGGAGAGGGAAAGTCCATTAAAAAAAAAAAAAGATAGGAATACATACATATATGTTTATGTATTATGAACGAGAATGAAAGGGATTGATGTCTTTTTTTTTTTTCTTTTTTTTTAGTTCATGGAATACGGGTGCATTAAAATAGGATTAGAGTGTGAAGAAACAGAGATGGGATGGGGTTAAACACATCATCATGGGTTTGCAAGCAGGACCATAACAGAAAAAGAAAGAAAAAAAAAAAAGAACCAGAAGAGAGACAGAAGAAGAAGATGGGAAGAATAAGAATAAGAAGAGAGTTAGATAGAAAGGGGTGAGCAATATACTTAATGTAATAATTATCCTTTCCTTACTATTTTTCTTCTTTTTTTTTCGCTTCCCTTTCCTCTTTCTCTTAACGTGCGAGCAAATAAAAAATGAAATAAAAAAATGAAAAAAAGAAAAGAAATAAAAAAGATGAAGTGCAAATGAAAGTAATAAAAAGAAGAAATAACCTACACACCATATATGTTTATTGTATAAATGGTAGTCATCTATGAATGCGTTATATATATATATATATATATGTTGTGTATGCGTGCATCTACATCTCTTTATTTGTGTAACTGCGTCTGTTGCAAAAGCCAACGAAGACACACTCACGAACCTATCAAATGAACAAAAGGGAATTAAAAAAGAAAAAAAAGGGAAAATAACATCAAATAAACCCAAAAGAATAGGATTGAGAAAAAAGAAAGAAAAAAAAGAAAAGGAGCTGTTTTTATTTAAACAAAGGAAAGGGGAATGTTTTATTTATCTGATACAGCCTATGAAGAGAATTAAAAAAATCTTTTTATTTAATTTTGTGATGGATAACTAATTAGATATCTATTTGTTCTTTTTTTCCTTTTTTTTTGTTCTTGTTTTGGATTTCTACTGCATGCCTGTCTGTTTCATTCATCTTTTTGCTTCTTTTTTTTTTCTTTTCTTCTTTTCCACCCGTTTCTCACAATTCAAAGCAAAAACTCAAAAGAGAAGAAAAAGACGAAACAAAATTCGAATTCGGGGGATAATTACAGATATTTTACTGCAGCTATAGTAGTAAAAAAGAAAAAAAGAAGGGAATTTATCGACAAAGAAGTGCCCTCATACCCTTTTTAACAGGGGTATTTCTGAATATATATATATATATATATATATATATATATATATATATACAAGTATAGTTAGATATTTCATTTTATTTCATTTCATAGAGGCAGCATGTCTGTGCCTTTCAAGTATCGTCAGCATATTCGTGATATTCATGAGTCTTTTAAAGATGGTAAACCCATCACGGAAGAGGAACTAAAAAGCGTCATGGATATTATTTGTCCACCAGAGCAGCAGGCACTACGGGAACAGTATGAAGCACAATGTCCACTGGATTCAAAAAGTTTTCTTACTCTTATGTATGAATTACAGAAGGCTACTCAAGTTCCCTATGAGGATTTTGTATGGAACTATATTAAAGGTTCTCTTAAATCTGGTATATTTAACGGTGAAGATTTTACAGATCTCAAGTCATTACGATCAACACTTGATCCCCTTATGCGTTCTGTGCGTTTTGATGTTCAGAATCTATACAAGGAACACGCCACTCCGGATGGGGATGGTCGAATTAGTATAGATCAACTCTGTGAAGTCTTCCGTGCGATGTATCCTCCCAACCAAATAGTATATCTTGAGATGTACAAGTGGGCACGTGCAAAGAAGATTGAAAAAGGACGGGGAAGTATAATAACCGCACGGAGTAAAACGTTTGATAGTGGGACGCCAACAGAGATCCCGCAAACTCCAGCAGGATCGCTGGAAACATCAATGAAAGCGAAAACAGGGACCAATGCGGGTAGTGAACAGAACAAAACGGAAGGCTCCACAATAACACAAACACCAGAAATAACAACAACAACAACAACAACGACTGTTGAAAACACGAATGAGACGATTAAAACACCACAAGATATGCAATCATCCGTAAACAAGATGAATACCACACAGGAACATCCACAAGAACAACAACAAAAAGAACAAGCACAAGAAAAAGAGGTTCAATTAAATGTGCAGGAAAACAACACACCTGCATCTCCTGCAGTGGGGCCAAATACAAATCCTATTAATACCTCAACGATTGAAAATGAAACATCGCAAACTATAGCGAACACTCCTAATATTGTCTCTTCTGGAGTAGGAGTAGGAGTAGAAGGAGTCAGTGAAAATGTGCAAGCCATCGTAACTCCAGAAGTAAATCTAAATCTTCAATCACCTACAGAGACAGATGCTGTTTTCCATAATAAGGTTCCTGCAAGTCTTCCATCAACTCCTCCACCCGCAGAGGCAGCACCCACTTTTTCTTCCTTATCGGTTTCTTCCCAGCCAATGGAAAATGACAAGAAATTTCATTTTTCTTCTGAGCATCAGATTAAAGTAGAGGAGGAATTAGTAAGACAATCTACTAATTCAGTTCCCCATTCTACTCCCACTGTATCCCTTTCTCTTAAAAAACCGGAATTACAAGTAGAAAGACGTCATGGACTTTATTTTAATCCATCAAACATTCGTGATATTGAACCACCTAATATGGATATGGTTAGTGATATTAAAACCAAACCAGTACCTAAATTACGTGCGAAAGAGGATATACCCTCATGGGATTATGAAGAAGCATTATTAGATTCCATTCTGGCCCGTGTGGTTCCAGGTCAACCAGTAGATCCACAAGTAGTGAAATACCTAAGAGAGTTGACACAACAAGAAAAAGAACTACAAGAGGCTCTACGTATTGAAATGGATAACTTAACATCCAATATGATGGCATGTGAGATGCTAGAGTATCGATTGTTACTGATGCGTGAACAAAAACAGGCACAATGTTTTAATCGATTAGAAAAACATCATACAGAACTTCTTATGGATATGGAGAAATATCTTCAAAAGGTGGGAAGTAAAGTAACGGTTAACAAGACTCGTCTTGGTAGTATTGCTGATAGTAACATTGATAGTGTTTTTGACACTAATAATAATAGTAATAATAATAACAACAGTAACAAAGGGAAAGGTTTAATCTCCAAGACCACTGTTACTACTACTATTACTACTACTGGTATTGATATTGGTTCTCAAAAACGAACAGGTACTCATAAATTCCAAACATTGTCCACTGCAACACCACCTCCGTTATCAACAGAACGACTGCAACGTGCTCAGCAACGGGAATATGTTCTGGAGCATGAACTGCAAAGAATACATGACATCTCATCTCCACCTGGATGGACACAGAAGTCTATGCAGAGTAGCCATGTGCGTCCACAGGTACATTCAGTACCTCATTTAGAGGAAGTGGAATTGACAAAGGGGATGAATCCGCAGTATCCATCAAGCCGAGCATCACAGCCTATTAACTACGGTGATAAGACATCATCATCATCATTATCAAGATATGGTTCTGTACCTATTGTATACCGTCCATCTGTACAGTATCATTATCCTTCATCTTCTTCTTCTGCTGCTTTTGCTGGTAAAACTACTACTACTACTAATAATAATAATATCACTAGTGCCTATGGTGGTAGTGGGACCCCCGCCAGGTCTTTAGAAGGAAATATGGAGTCTCAGTCACTCATGTCGAGGGAATTGATAAATCGGACAGTCAATCCGTACTTTACAAATGAGTTGGCAGCGGACCTCATGACAAGTTCACAGGTTCAACACAAGATTGAAGAGCGGCTGACAGCACAACTGGTAGGAATGAACCACGGACTACATTATGCTTAAACTACGGATTAGTTCTTCTCCCTCTTTATTATTTTTTTTTGTTTTATTCATTTTTTATTTTGTATATAAAACGTGGTTTTTGTTTTGTTTATTTGCTTTTTCATCTCTATATATTTTCCTTCATCTCACTGCATTTATTATTATTATTATTATTATTATTATTCTTTCTTGTAATCAGCTCTCTTTCTTTTTTTCCAGTTTATCGCTTTCGTCCTCATTTCAACTTCTCTTTCTGAGAGTATATTTGAGAGAATATCTTTCTCTTGAGAGGAAAGCAAAGTGCAAAAAAAAAAACAACAACAAAAAGAAAAAAAAAAAATTGATATCAAAATAGTGATGAGGTTAATATTTTCTTTTCTTTTCTTACATATGTGGATGTTGTGTTTTCTTTCAGACTGTTTTTGTTTTCCCCATTTCAAATAATTACTTGATTTCTTTTTATTTCATTTTCTGTTTTCCATCTCTTTCTTATTTTGATTATTGAAACCGTGTCTAAAAAAAAAAAAAAAAAAAAGAGGAAGGAGGTTTTTTTTTTTAAAAAAAAAAGTGAAAAAAGGTACAATTTTTTTCTTTTTGGTTTGATTAGTGCTGTGGATGCCAAAGGTCATCATTACCAAAAGATTAATAATAGCAAGAGTAAGAGGATGAGTAGTCTTATGGATGACAACAACATTATTAGTGCCGGGCGGGATGGACAACAGCAAACTATTCTGGGGTCTTCCTGCAGTGTACGTGCGCCTGATGGCTCCGTCAAGCGTGGACAACTATTGGAGGTGCGATATCTCTGGACTCCGCCATTACTCGCTGATAGTCCACAGAAGAAACCACCACCACTCTATGGATTTGTACGTGTAAAGGATGTGGATCACCGTCTAAGTGGGTGGTTTCCTGCTTCTGATATTGAGATAAAAGAGCCTCGAGGAAATAATAGTAATAATAATAATAATAATAATAATAATAATAATAATAATAATAATAATAATAATACAGGTTTAGGTAGCGGTAGTTTGACGCCACCTCCACAAACATTTATTCGAATCACCAAACCGATATTAAGTTCTGTATACTGGGAAGAAACTCCTGGTATGACTCGTACACGACGTGAGGAAAAACAACATGATTTTTTTGAAGAACGACTTTTACGTGATTGTCGTACTCCTACAACTATTCGTTATTTTGTGTATTTATGTACATATGTATTTGCCCCATGGTATTATGCCCCGTATGGTATTTTTCACACAGAATATGATCCAGCAGCGTCTTGCAGCCGTGAGGAACAACGTTACGCTGGAATAACTGAGACGACACCAACAAATCCGTACATTCGTGATGCCTATTTGTGTCCTTTTTCTCTTCGTATCTATAGTACCTTTGAGCAAATGCAATATGAGACAAGACTCTACCGTTCTGGTCGATTACAACCACCTGGACAAGAAATATATAGAGATGATGCACGTGGATTTTCTATGTTTGAAGTAAATGGTAGTAGACAAGTGACATACTGCCGTCATTTATTTCTCTTAGGTAAATCATTTCTTGAGAATAAATTAGCTGGTTATGATGTGCAGAATTACTACTTTTACATTGTCTGTCTTCATCAACGTCATTTCCCTCAATATACTGATGATCCTTCGGCAATGTATTTTGTTGGTTACTTCACGTGGGAGAAACAAGTGGTAGATAATAATTTAGCGTGTATTGTGACACTTCCGTGTTTTGCTGGTGGATCTTCGACACCAACGAGTGTGGGACATTTTGGACAATTCATGATTGCTGCAAGTTATGAACTTGCCTATCGCCGCCGTCATGTGGGATCGCCGGAGAAGCCACTCTCCGATTTGGGTGCTGCTGCCTATTATCGTTACTGGCTTCGAGTGCTGTTGACGTGGATGCACACCCAACTCCCGCAGACCACCACGCCTGTCATTACGGTTGGCGATGACGAGAATGAGAGTGAGAGTGAGCGGCGGCGGGAGGCGGCGGTGGCGGTGATGGTGGACGACGAGGAGGACGACAGTGAGAAGGACGACGACGACGGGGAGGAGGAGGACGAGAGTGAGAGGGACGAGGAGGAGGAGGACGAGGAGGCCCCGCAGCCGCAGCCGCAGGGGGAGAGGGAGAGGAGTAAAAACAGCCGCCCTCGCGGGGGCCGCGGCCTCAAACGCCCCCGAACGGCCCCCACCGGCCGCCCCGCCGCCGACGAGTCGATGGCCGCCGTGACGGTCCACCGCGTCGCCGTCGAAGTGCGCCTCGACCCCGCCGACGTCCTCCGCACACTTCTGCGCGCCGGCCTCCTCCACCGCAACGCCGAGGACCGATCGCTGCGCCTCGTCATCCCCGCCGCCTGCGTGCGCCGCGAGGTGGCGAGGGCCGCCCAGCACCGCAAAGACATGACACGCGCAGTGTTTGACCCCGCACTCCTCATCACACGAGGGGCAACCACAACCACCACAACTACAGCTACCACCACCACCTCTACTACTACTACCAGTTCCACCGCAACACGCCAACCACACACACCACAGAAACAGAGACCGTAGAAGAAGTTGCAGAGAGGAGAAGAAAAGAAGAACAGAGAGAAAGAAAAAAAAAAAAAAAGAAAAAGAAGACAAGAAAACGAGAAAACAAGAGCGTAATAACAGAAGAAGAAAAGAAGAATGGAAGGATGTGAATGAGGTCAAAAGATGTCACTAGTATGTGTGTTTATCTTGCTACTGCTAATGTGGCTCCTTTTCTGTAATATACATATATAGGTTTATTTATTTTTTTTGTTTTTGATTTATTTATTTAATGATGATTTTTTGTCTTTTTTTTTTCGTTCTTGTGTAACCCCTTTTCTATTCATGTATTCTTTTTCTTTTTTTCTTTTCTTTTCCCTTTTTTTTCCTTTTCTTGCTTTCTTTTTTTTTCCGTTTATCTGAAGTGATCTGTGAAATTGCTGGGTAGCCCCTTTGAAAACTACTAAACATTTCATTTATCATAAGACAACACACAGTATATATTATTTATTAATACAGAGGCTTACACCACGTACCATAGATTGGGCTTATTCATAGAGTAGAGAACGTCTAAGCATTAAAAACAAAGAATAAAAAGAAAAGAAAAGGAAGGAAGGAAGGAAGAAGGGAAGGGGAAAAAAAGAGAGAGGAGTACGTAGTGTGGCTACTTAATTCCATAACTAATTCCAGAAACAAACGCAGATTACACTTGCATTATTTATATTCATTTATACATTTTATAAACACAAACACCGTCTCTAGTAGAAAAACAAAAAGAATAAACTACTAACATCATACGGATAGTCAAAAAAAAAAAAGAAAAAAAAGGAAGAAGGAAAAAGAAAAAAAGAGGAAAGAAAATGAGTAATCGAACTGTAGAGGAAATTTATCAGAAAAAGACACAGCATGAACACATTCTAGCCCGTCCTGATATGTACATTGGTACAATTGAACCTGTTACAGAAGATATGTGGGTTTATGATGAGGCTGAAAATATGATGAAACTTCGGAAATGTACTTGGACTCCAGGTCTCTATAAAATATTTGATGAAATTCTTGTGAATGCTGCTGATAATAAAGTGCGTGATCCTCACGGTCAGACAGTTATTAAAGTATGGATAGACCCAGAGAAGGGTATGGTGCGAGTATACAATAATGGTGAAGGTATTCCTGTACAACGTCATCGTGAACATCAATTGTGGATTCCAGAGATGATTTTTGGTCATCTTTTAACTTCATCTAACTATGATGATACCGAAGCAAAAGTTACGGGTGGTCGAAATGGATTTGGTGCAAAATTAACAAACGTTTTTTCTACTCGTTTTGAATTAGAAACTGTTCATAGTCGTTCTCGTAAAAAGTTTTTTATGCGATGGCGTAATAATATGTTAGATAGTGAGGAACCTGTTATTACACCATGTGAAGGACCTGATTATACAGTGGTAACATTTTATCCGGATTTTGAAAAGTTTAATTTACAGGGATTTGGAGAAGATATGGTGTATATGATGAAGCGTCGTGTATATGATGTGGCTGGTTGTACAGATAAAACACTTCGTTGTTATTTAAATGATACAAAGATTGCTTGTACTTGTTTTGCTGATTATGTGGATCTTTATCCCATGATGGGAGAAGAAAAGAAACCAGCAAGTTATGCACGTGTAAATGATAGATGGGAAGTTTGTGTACGTGTATCTAATATTGGATTTCAACAAGTAAGTTTTGTAAACTCTATTGCTACTACACGAGGTGGAACTCATGTGAAGTATATAACAGATCAAATTATTGCAAAAGTAACCGAACAGGCAAAACGTAAAAATAAAACAGAAGTTAAACCACATATGATTCGACCTCATTTATTTGTTTTTATTAATTGTTTAATTGAAAATCCTGGATTTGATTCTCAGACAAAGGAGACTCTTAATACACCTAAACCACGTTTTGGTTCCACCTGTGATCTTCCTGCATCTATGGTGGATTGTATTCTAAAGTCTAGTATTGTGGAACGATCAGTGGAAATGGCAAATAGTAAATTAACACGTGAAATTGCATCTAAATTACGTAATGCGGATCGAAAACAAATTCTTGGTATTCCAAAATTAGATGACGCGAATGAGGCAGGAGGAAAGTATAGTCATCGTTGTACACTTATCTTAACAGAGGGAGATTCCGCCAAAGCCCTTTGTACTGCAGGTCTCGCCGTTAAAGATCGTGACTACTTTGGTGTATTTCCATTACGTGGTAAACCTCTTAATGTGCGAGATGCCACTCTTAAGAAGGTAATGGCATGTGCTGAATTTCAAGCTGTGAGTAAAATCATGGGACTTGATCTTAGACAAAAACATGCTAGTATAGAAGGATTACGTTATGGACATTTAATGATTATGTCTGATCAAGATCATGATGGTTCACATATTAAAGGACTTATTATTAATATGATTCATAATTACTGGCCAGATCTTATTAAAACTCCAGGATTTTTACAACAATTTATTACACCTATTGTAAAAGCACGTAAAAAAGGACGAGCATCTAATGATGATCGTGCTATTTCTTTCTTTTCAATGCCTGATTATTTTGAATGGAAAAATTCTATTGGTGATGGTATTCGTAATTATGAAATACGATACTATAAGGGTCTTGGTACATCTGGAGCAAAGGAAGGACGTGAATATTTTGAAAATATTGATCGTCATCGTCTTGATTTTGTATATGATGATGCTACCGATGATTCACGAATTGTAATGGCATTTGCTAAGGATAAAGTAGAAGAACGAAAACAATGGATTACACAATTTAAGGCAAATACCAATCCTAATGAATCGATGAATTATAATGTTAAGACCGTTTCCTATTCAGAGTTTGTCGATAAGGAACTTATTCTCTTTTCTGTAGCAGATTGTGAACGATCTATTCCAAGTGTTATAGATGGATTAAAACCTGGTCAACGAAAGATTATTTTTTCTTCTTTTAAACGTAACCTTACACGATCTATTAAGGTGGTACAACTTGCTGGTTACGTTTCTGAACATGCCGCTTATCATCATGGAGAACAATCATTAGTACAAACTATAGTAGGATTAGCACAAGATTATGTGGGATCAAATAATTTACCACTATTACAACAAGATGGTCAATTTGGTACACGTTTGCAAGGAGGTAAAGATCATGCCGCAGGTCGTTATATCTTTACACGACTTGCAAATATTGCAAGATTTATTTATCACCCATCAGATGATTATGTTGTAGAATATAAGGATGATGATGGACTTTCTGTAGAACCTTTTTATTATGTTCCTATTATTCCAATGGTACTTGTAAATGGAACTTCTGGTATTGGAACAGGATTTGCAACTAATATTCCTAACTATTCACCAATAGAAGTTATTGATAATTTATTACGACTTTTATCTGGAGATGAACTTGTACCTATGAAACCTTGGTACTTTGGATTTACAGGTGAAATTGAAGAAAAAGAAAAAGGTAAATTTGTTTCTATGGGTCGTGTCTCAGTACGACCTAATGGTATTGTAAGTATTACAGAACTTCCAATTGGTACATGGACACAAGCATATAAAAAATTTCTTGAAGATCTTCGTGAAAAGGAAGTTGTGGTACAATATCGTGAACACAATACAGATGTTACCATAGACTTTGAGGTATTTCTTCACCCTGAAGTTCTTCAGCAATGGACGGCACAAGGTTGTCTGGAAGAGAAGATGCAACTACGAGAGTATATTCACGCCACCAATATTATAGCCTTTGATAGAGAAGGACGCATTACCAAGTACCTGGATGCGGAGGCGGTGTTGAAAGAGTTTTATTTGGTGCGTCTAGAGTACTATGCGAGGCGACGTGACTTTCTCATTGGGGATCTCCGCCGCGTGGCCTCCAAGCTGGAGAACATGGTCCGCTTCGTGACGGAGGTGGTGGACGGCCACTTGGTAGTCACGCGGCGCCGCAAGAAGGACCTGCTGGAGGAGCTGCAGCAGCGCGGGTACGCCCCCTTCCCGCCGCAGCAGAAGAAGAAGGTGAGCTCGACGACCATCCAGCAGGAGGACGAGGCGGACGGCGACGAGGGCGCGGCGGCGGACCCGGCGGCAGTCGCCACAAGTCTCGCGGGAATGCCGTCCTTCCTGCACGGAGAAGAAGCGGGAGAAGAGGGAGAGACGCCGGAGGTGCAGCGGGCGGCGCGGGATTACGATTATTTGTTGGGCATGCGGCTGTGGAGTTTGACGGCGGAGATGATCGCGCGGCTCTTGGCGCAGCTGCAGCGGGTGCGGGATGAACTCGCCGCGCTGGAGTGCCGCACACCGAAGGATCTCTGGAAGGAGGATCTCATGCAACTGCGGCCACGCGTGGAGAAGATCTTCGCCGACCGCGCTAAGGAGATTGCATCTATTCAGCGCAGGAAAATGGAGAAGAAGCGGCCGTTTGATCCACAGCGGTTGCGAGTCCCGCTGCTCTCCGATAAGGCACGGGAGGCACTCGCAAAAGAGTTTGTGAAGACAGAGAAGAAGAGTGGAAGGACCACACGAGCAACAACCGCAACATCCGTGGACGATGATGGAAATAGTAACAGTAACAATACTACTACTAATAATAATACTAATAATAAACCCGCACGTAAACCAGCAGCACGACGTAAGAAAAAGAAATCATCGAGTGATGATGATGATGACGAGGATGATGACTTTTTTGATTTGGATGACAGCAATAATGATGATGATGGGAGCAATTGGCGACCAAAAGATGAGGATGATGATGATGATGTGGATAGTAAAAATAATAATAATAATAATAATAATAATAATAATAATAATAATAATAATAGCGGTGTAAAGAAGGAGAGTGTACGAAAAACGGCGGCTGAACGACCAGCAGCCAAGCGGGCGCCACGAAAACCAAAAGAAGAAACTTCAAAACGTGTGAAAACAGAAACAACAACATCAACATCAGTAAGAAAGCCAGTAACAGTTACAGATGATTTTGATCTCGACTGTTTTGGTATTGAGGCACTCACAATACCCACATCAACCCCAATTACTAACTCCACCACACCTGCAGTCACAACAACAACAACAACAACAACAACAACAACAACACAGAGACAACCACGATCCAGTGTGCTGGACGATGAGGCAGAGGATGATCTCATGCTTCTTGGCATTGTGAAGGATGAGGGGAAAAAACAACCTCCGGCACCGGCAGCAAAACCAGCATCACGGGCTGCGAAAAAACCACAAGAGGAGAAACCACAAAAGACATCAAAGACTTCCACAAAACGAAAGCGGAACCGCAGTGAAAGTAGCAGCGAAGAAGAGGAATCCTTCTCAGATGATGATGATGATGATGATGATGATGATGCAACATCTGAAGGAAGTTCTTCCTCATATGATTTCAGTGACTAAAGACAGACAGGGGTGTGGTGGAAGAGATGGAAATGAGGGGGCTCCCCTTATACAAAGGGTATCTTCACACTACAGAACCAAAGAAAAGAAACTTAAACTACTTGATTGGTACCATAGAACTCATATCAGAATAAACTAAGAAAAAGTAAAAAAAAAAAAAAAAACATAAAGAAAGCAGGTACATTCTTTAGTCATTTCTGCTGATATATTACACACAGAGAGAAAAAAAAAAGAAACGAGAGTTGGTGAATAAATGTACTATTTGCCTGAACAGGTGAAGAAGAAAGATATCTCTCTGCTGTTTTATTATTTTATTTTTTCTTGTTTTCTTTTTTTTTTCTTCCTGTACACGATATTTTCAACGTAGTCTTTATAGTCTTCTATAATGAATTGCATTTTTTCTTTCTTTCCTTATTTTTTTTTTTCTTTTTTTTTTTTTTTTTTCGTGGGAACTCTCTCTCACTTTATTTCTAAGGTAATAATACCCAAGCATCCATTATACACATATATACATACACTTGTATATTTGGTGTATTGTGTGTGTTTGTTTGATTCTTTATTTGTGAGTCTTTCTAAAGAGAGAAACTAAAAAGAAAACAAAATAATAATAATATTAATAAGAATAATAATAGTAAAAAAAGAGTGGTGGTGTTCCTGTTTACACACCACGAACAACACGTGGAGAGAGCTATTGCTATCACTGTAATTCTTAACAGAGAGAAAGAGAGAGAGAGAGTAATCGTGCGAAGATAAATAACGAAAAGAAAAAAAAAAAGAAGGGGATAAGTTTAACGTCAGAACAAAGAGAGAAAGTTAAAAAAAAAAAAAAAATGGATTTGGCAGCCACGCGTCGCACTACAGAAACAGGACGCAAACGCCATGGTCCACACTTCACTGTTATCATCATTGGTGAAGTATTCAACAATTCAACCCATCCACTCTATCCTGTCTCACCTTCCCAAAAACTCCCATTTGCCTTATTACCTATATGCAATACTCCTATTATTGATTATATCCTTGAAAATCTCGTAGAGAATGGCGTGGATGAAGTCTGTATTCTACTTAATAGCGAATCGGTAGAACCGGTGCGGGATCATTTGCAGAATAATCGTACGGCACGTGGTAAGCCGTGGTTGGAGAGTAAAGATATGAAAGTAAAGGTTGTGGAAAGTAAGCGAAATATGACACGACCATTTGACGCTACATCAGAGATTGTAGATCATAATCTTGTCGCACAGAACTCATCCTTTCTTTTTGTTCCTATTGACTCCATGGCGTTTTTTACAAATCTTCGTGATCTCTTTCACATACATAATCAACGTACAAATGATCTTAAGAAATATGCTGCTACACTACTTTGTACTTCTGTAAGATCTTTGCTTGAGGATACATTACATGATCTTTTATTAGAGAAAATGAATGAACGAGATAATAATACTCTTGGATCACCTTTACTTGATCGAGACTCACCTGCTACTGCTGGTGTAACTCTTTCCGCAGCAGAATATCGTCCACTTGGTGTTTATGAAAATCCACCCAATCATTTAACTATGTTTACATTACAGAAATCTACAGGAGTGGTGAGAAGTATGACCCGAGTGGAATCCCGTGAAGAGTCTCCAGAAGCAATTTCTATGGAATTCAGTAGTCGTGAACCAATGTCTGTACGAACAGATCTTGTACCTACAAATTATCTCTTTTGCTCTGCTGAAGCATTACCACTTTTCACATTTCACATGAATGATCTCCATGCATTCTTAGTAGATCTTCTAGTAAAAGAAGAATTATGGGGTAATGTTTTTGGTATTGAGGAAGTAACCCCATCTATGGGTATTATACAACCTATAAACAGTCTAACATCATATATTCAAACAAATATTGATGTTTGTTGTCGTCGTTTTTTCCCTCTAACACGTGAATCCAGTTTTGCAGAAGATCTCGCCCGATACGCTGTATCACCGCATTGTCAAAGTGTATATTTACATCAAGTGGGGGCAAAGGTACTCTCAAGCAACTGTGAACCTTGTGTAGTTGTTGGCGAACAAGTAGTTATTCCACCTACAGCAATAGTTCGAGGAACTATTTTTGGAAAAGGTGTACGTATTGGTGATGGTGCTGTTATTTCAGGTTGTGTTATTCTGGATGGGACAACTATTGGGTCTGGTTGTGTTCTTCGTCACTCCTTTATAGGTCATAATGTTGTTATCAGTGAAAAGGCTGAGGTATCACATTCTATTATTGGTGATGGTTGTATTATTGGTGTAATACCAATAAAGACTAGTAGTAGTCGTGCAGGTACTGGTACTGGTACTGGTAGTGCTGGTGGTGCTAGTGGAACTAGTAATAGTCATAGTCATAGTAGTAATAGTCATAGGAGAAATATCACCATCAACAGCACCATTACTACTACTACTACTGCTACACCGAAGGGGAAAACTAAGAAGAAAGCGAATGAAGAAAATGTACAGAAAAATGTACAGGGTGTGGTTATAGAGGATCAAGTCATTATAGCATGTAGTATTGCAGAGACTGATAAAAACTTGACAGGTCAAGGGGGTTGTGGTAAAGCAGTAAAAGATCGTTATGTGAGCACAACTCTACCAACACGTGAGGTATTTATACGAGATACTATACCACGTGCAACTAGTGAAGCTGCAGATGATGATGATAGCGATGATGATAATGATTCTGCACAGATGGAATTATTTAGAGATACCATCCATTCACTTGTGGAACAGGCACTGAGACAGCCATCCCGTATTAAAGACTGTACATTCCAAATGAAAAATACTCGTCTCACCTTTGGTCGTAATAATGGAGATTTATGCCAGATTGTAACTGAGAAGTTACTCCTGCATGCCATGGAGCGTCATGGTAAAAGTGGCGATGTAAATTTTCTGTTAAAAGCGGTGCGAGATCTCTTTGCGCAGTGGTGTCGGCCCTTCTACAGTGATGTGGTGACGGGCAGTGATGAGATGCAGGCGACGCTGCAGGCGGTGTGCATGGCGGTGGGCGACGTGCGCTGCCCCCTCCACAAGTCCGGCCCGCTGCTGCTGGAGTGTCTCTACAACGACTGCGACGACGACTTGTACGATGAGCGCGGCTTCTGCATTGTGAGCGGCGAGTCGCTGGTGGAGTTCGGCGCGTACATCCGGCGGGTCCACCAGCGGCGGGCGGCGGCGTTCGACGCGGAGGACTCCGACGGCAACGAGAGCGACGAGGAGGAGGAGCGGATGCTGCGCGTGGGGCTCAGCTGCGAGCAGTTCATCGCCGGCGTGCGGGAGTTCCTCGAGGAGGAGGAGGACGACGAGGAGGAATAAGAGAGAGAGAGAGAGAGAGAGAGAGAGAGAGAGAGAGGAACTAATGGAAAATAGAAAAAAAGGGGAACATCAAGAGGAAGAGGAAGAGGAAGGAAAATCAAAAAAAGAAAAGAAACTATCTCAGTAAAAAGGCGAGAAAAAGGGGGAAAAAAGAAAGAAAGAAAAAGGAGAAAAAAAAAGAATATATGTATGGCGTTCTAATGTGTTTCACGTGTAATGAACAGATTCTAAGGAAGAGTGCGTTTCATATGAAGGAGGAGAAAAAAAAAAAAAAAACAATAAGAGGGAAAAGAGAAAATAAAGGAATGAAGAGAGGAAGAGAAAGAGTGTAAAAGATAGAAGGAAATGAATATATGGAGAGGTGTATACATACATACATACATACATACACATACAGACCTATAAGAGAGCAACAATACCCAGGGTGAATTTTCACTCTTTTATGCCCTTTTTTTTCACTATTATCTCTATTTGCATGCTTTACGTTTACGAACTAAAAAAAAAAAAGTCTTCTCTTCAGGGCTTTACTGCATGCCCGCTTGGCTTTGTATATTACACAGATATATACACATTCACTCACATACATACAAAGCTGTACATATACATGTATATACATATAAACATATATACATCTTCTTTAAATTGTTTGCTTCTTTTTTTTTTTTTAATTTTATTTTTTTTTATTATTTATTTCTCTTTTCGATAGGGAGAAAACAGGAAGGAGCGGCGGGGCCTCTTTTCTTTTACTCCCTTTCCCTCTCTATTGTGAAGGAAGGGAAAAAAGAAAAAAAAAAACAAAGAGGTAAAGAGTAACGGATAAGAATAGAAGAATTAAAAGACATTAAGGAGACAAAAAGAAAAAGAAAAAAGAAGGAAATACGAAACAACAACAACAACAATAGAGAAACACCTTTCTTGATTGATTACTTATATATACATACATACATAAAAGAGAGAGAGAGAGATAGTACGATATACGTCTGTAGTAAGGATGGACTTTGATGTATCGACGCCCTCTGTGACGGAGGCTCTTGGGGATCTGCAGTTACGTATGCAATCTCTGCAGGAAGATCGGGAGTTGTACCGCGCTTTAGAGGAAAAGGCCTGCACAAACTTTGAACGACACCGGGCGGAACTCACACTATTACTACAGAAGGAACGGGCCATTCACGCCGCAGCGGAGGATCGACTCCGTAGAGAACTCCAACAGCTGCTGGCAGAGAATGAAACCACACGCATACAGTTGGCAAGACAACGTAAAGAACAACAAACCCAAATGCGTGAAGAGTTACTTTTACGACAGGAACAACTTGAAAAGAATGAGGCGGAAATGATGGGTAAACTATCTGAACTGCGTGAACAGTATAATGCCGAACGTACAGAGACGGATCTCGCCCAGCAGGAGAAGATGTGGCATGAGTTGCAATTACGTGAAGTCCTCGATCGACAACGAACACTCAATACAAAACATCAACAACTAGTACGTGAAATGGAAGAAATACAAAAAGAACAAGAACAACAACAACAACGCGATAAAAGAGGAGGTGGTGGTAGTTGTGGTAGACGACACAGTCCTAGTTTTTTCATTGAAAAAGTATTTCTCCCTTCCGGTCCACCCGATCAGTGCCACACCACCACACCATCCTCACATCATATCGCCGCTATTGTTTCTACAGTGGAAAGGCAGAATTGTTATAAACCACGTACATACTACCGTAGACACGGTGTGATTTCACCAATGGATGTACGATTGGGAAGTCCAACACTTGTCAAAAATGCTTTTGAGATGCGACGTCCACCACCGCTGCTCACCAACCTCTCTTCTTCTTCACTATTACCAGGCGAAATGGTAACAACAACAACAAAAAGAGGAGGATGTGGACATGAGAGTTTCTCACGGAAGGAGGGAATCATACCTTTACAACGATTGACTGTGAACAGCAGTACGGCGACGGGGGGTTCGGGTCGTGTAGTGACGAATAGTGCCCGTCATCTCTCTGCTCTCTGTCGTTCTTTACTGCGAGAGATACTTCAGTTGCGGAAGGAGTATCGTGAATACACAACGGCCTTGAATGATCCTTCTGTAGACTCCGTAGAGGTAAGTCGACGAATGCGAAGTATTATGACGGATCTAGATCGTAAAGTACATCAACTTCGTAGTCTTCGGCAACAACAAGCGCAGGTGGAGGATAAGTTGAGATTGCATGATGTGTTAATGGAAATAGCAGCAGAGAATAACTATTGTGAGGCTATCTACAGTGACCTCTTGGAGCTTATTCGTTCTTAAAGGAGGGGAAAGAAAAAAAAAAAAGAAAATATTACAGATCAATACACAGGAACACACAGACCCTTGGGGTTAATATTATTATTATTATTATTATTATTATTATTATTATTATTTTGAATGCTTCTGTGTGGTTGTGTATATAAAGTTTTGTACCTATCTTGTTCTCTTTCTTATTCTACACTATTATCATTACCTTCATGATGTTGATGATGGTGATGATGATGGTGTACGTATTTTTACTATAGAGGAGTTACCTACCATTTTGGTACCTATATATATTATATATATATATATATATATATATATATATATATATTATATACGTACAATCTTTCTCTTCCTCTTTTCCTCTCTGCTTTGTTTTTTTTCTTTTTTGTTACCTTGTACTACAAGGACGGTTTCTATTTCACCGTAACGCATAGAATTACTCTCTTTCTCTCTCTTACTCTCTCTTTGTATATATAAAAGAGAGAGGGGAAAAGTCAAGAGAGGAAAATGAAGAGGATAGAGGGGAGAGGTTTTTTTTTTATTCATTTATGTAGTTGTGACATGATGAATGTTTGATGTATTTCTGTTTGTATTAGTCAGATGGTTTTTTTGTTATTGCCGTATATTGTTATTGCTGTACTATGCTCTTACCATCTTGGTGAATGAGAGATTAGCCCCAACTAGATTGGAGTATGGTAAAAAAAAAAAAAAGAAGAAAAAAGAAGAGAAAAGAAAAAAAAAAAAGAACTGTAGATTTACTTGCATGATTACTGTTTCTTTTTTTCTCTTTATACACTTATTATAGACCTTCTTTTTTTTTTTTTTTTCTATTTTCGTGTATTGCTTTCCATCCCTACAGTAACACGAGTGCAAAAGGAAGTGAGCGAAAAAAAAAAAAAAAAAGAAAAAACAGCAACTCCAACAGTCAACAAGGAAAAAGAAAGAAAAGAAAAAAAAAAAGAAGAAAAAGAAAAAAGGCGAAACTAAGTAAAGTAAAAGAACCAATAGTATTTACATACCTAAATACATACATACAGAGACGGAGAGAAAAATGACGGAGATGCTGCGATGTCTGGTGCCGCATCTCGACAAGCACCTCGTGCTCGGCCTGCTGTACTTCCACGACGATCAGGGCCTCGACGTGGCGGACGCCATTCGCGCCGTGCAGGCCACGACGGCCCTCACGCCGGAGGGCGAAGTCTCCCCCGCGCAGGAGCGGAAGATCGCCAAGGCCGCCCAGCGAGCCCAGCCCGCCCTGGAGGAGTTCTTTGAGAAGAACGAGGCGGAAAACAGCACCTACCAGTTTAAGTTAACCGGAAGTGAGATTGATGCGCTGCGTAGCAACAGGGAACTCTCACGTGATGTACTCGAGGGAAAAGGCATCACCCGAGATGTGATGAAGGCGGTGATGGAGTTGGCCTATCTCTGCTATGATGCCGCTCGCTACACAGACGCCTCGGAGCTGCTCTCACTCTGTCAATGTGTGGTTGGATATGAACTCGACCAGAGCACACTGCTGTGGGGTAAACTCGTCAGTGATACCTGCACCTGCAATTGGCCCTCCGCTATTGCCGTTGCGGAGAAACTGCGACGACAACAAAACGCGGATGTCTTTGAGGAAGATATCTTTCGTGTTTCCACCGTCACTACCACCACAGAGCGGGTATGGCTCCTACACTGGGTACTATTCCCCTTCTTTAAGGGCGGTAATCAATACTCCACCCATTTGCTGAACTTTATCTTTGATTTCAAGACAAACTCTGTCTATCAAAGTGTGGTGGAGACGGTCTGTCCACATTATCTTCGCTACATTTGTGCGGCGGCTATTCTCAACAAACAACGTCGCTCCGCACTGCGTAGTGCTGCCGCCATGGTAAGTGACATCTACGAGTACTCTGATCCACTGACACAACTCGTACACGCGATTGTAAACCGACAATCCTTTGAAGATGCCCTCGCCCTCCTTCCCGCTGTTCGCACAATGGCGCTTGGGGATTACTTCCTCACCACACACACCACCACACTTGTGGAGAATGCACGTCGCCTGATCTTTGCACGATATATGGCCACACACGCCGTTGTTTCTATTCCGTATGTGGCGCAGCAACTCGGCACAACGGCGGCCGATGCGGAGGTGTGGCTTGCCAATCTCATCAGCGAGACGAAGCAGCGGGCGAAGATTGATTCCGTTGCGGAGCAAATGGTGGTGGGATCGCAGGTGCGCTCTGTGCATCAGACAGTACTGGATAAGCTGGAGGTGGTGGACCGCCGCTAAGTCGACGTTTTTTTTTTTATTTTTTCTTTTCGTTTTTCTCTCTTTTTCTTTTTTCTCTTTCTTTTTCTTATTTGTTGTTCTTTTTTTTTTTTTTTTCTCTCTCTCTCTCTCTCTCTCTGTCTGTCTGTGTGTGGGCGTGAGTGAATTTCTATTCAAAAGAGGAATAAAGGAGAGAAAAACACACAGAGAGGTATATATAGAGAGTAAGAGAAAGAGAAGAGAGAGATAGAAAAACAAAGAATAAAAAAGGGAATGAAAAAGAAAAAAAAAAGAGGAATGAAAAATAAAAGAAAAGAACGCCAGGCGATAGGATGATGATGATGATGCAGCCAGAGAAGCAAAAAAAAAAAAAAAAGGAAAAAGAAAAGAAAAAGAAGAAATGAAGGAAGAGTACGAAAGAATTCACGAGTAACGATGATGATAATAAGAGAGGAGTTTGGAAGGAGAGAGGCGAGTTGCAATTAAAACATGAAGAAATCAGTATGAGAAACATGAAAGGCGAAGAAGAAAACGAAAAAAAAAAAAAAAACAAGTCTAGGGAATCAATATCGCGTTCACATGTTTTAATTCAAAAAAAAAAAAAGAAAAGTATTTCTGCTTTTGTGTGTGTATATATGTGTCCATTGTCTGTAATAGAGTGAAAATAAAAAAAAGGAAAGGTGAGAAAAATGAAAAGAAAGAAAAAAGAGAGATATGAGAGTTTAATGATCTCTTTTTTTTATTATTATTTCTTTTTTCCCTTTTTATTCATTTTTTTTTTTTTTTTTTTATAATCATTCTATTTAGAGACATCTTCTTTTCTCATGGTTGTGGATATTCTTCACTGTGGTTTGACAGGGAGGTAGTCCTTTTCATCTTTTCTTTTCTTCTCTTCATCTTTTTTTCTTTCGTCTTTTTCTCTTTAATCACTAACATGCGTGGAAGCAGACTAGTGTCTGTGTATATATTATTTTTCCTCTATACTTGTTTCTTTGTTTATCTGTTTCTCTCTTTCTCTTTACTGGGAATGTTTTTTTTTTCTTTCTTTTTTGTTTTATTCTCTCTATTGTTCTTCTTACCCCCCTTCTTTTTTTCTTTCTTTTTCTTTTCTTTTGCCTTTTTTTTTGTGTTTATTGATAATTTTCTTTTTTTCTTTATAGAGCGCAACGGGGCATTAAAAGTAAGGTGTAGTGTACAGATACTCCAAGCGTAGAATAAAAGAGAAGAAAAAAAGAAAAAAGAAGAAAATATCAAGCAAACAAAACAAATAAATAAAGAAATAAACAAAGGAATAAAAGTCTTACTCTCGTACCCACATCACTAACAGACTCTATCTATCTATATATATATAGATATATATACAGTATGCCTTCCTGCAGAGCTCCCAATCGTCCATTGCCGCTGGGGCCACGCCGTACGGGTAGAAACGATGCACTCATAGAAAAATGGGCCCAGCCGCTCGCCCCATACATGGAGCCACTGCCGAGAAGAAGAATAACATCAACACCAACAACAAGAGGTCTGGGAAATGCGGGAGGTCCAAATAGACGCTCCCGCTCCGCTACTGCTGCCACACATACAAATACAAATAGTAATACTAATACTAATACTACGGCAGCAGCATCTCGTCAAGAATTGGGTCAAGGCTGTGCGGGAAAAGAAGGTCCTTCAGTGCACGGCAACAGTATAGCGCAGCTGAGCGGTGAGGAACAGAGTATTTGTGATTTGATGGTCGGTCTACTGCAGTACAAATCAGCAGAAGAGGCGCGGCATATTCTTGCGGAAGTAAATCAACTCGCGCAGTCCCGCCGGCTTCTCGCCCTCTACAGTGGTGTATATGGAAACAACGGGGATGCCGGTGAACCAAACATGTTGGATAGAATACGAGAGAGAGCACGTTTACAGTTAATTCGTCAACTTCAGCAACAACTGCAGGAGGAAGAGGAAGAGAGAGAAAAGGACAAATCTCAACGCGAGAGGGATCTTAACAGTGAAGAAGAGAAACATCGACGACGATGGCGGAAACTCTTTGGTCGTGATAATACAAGTGGAAATAAAACCCACTCATCACCGCCAAAAAAGAAACGAGGTCATCATATTCGTAAATCAGCGCGAGGCACAAAGGCAGCACAGAAGGAAAAAATATCACAACAACAACAACAAAATTCTCAACAAGAACCAAAACAATATGAAAGTAAAACATGGGAGGAAATTGCCTCCGCTAGAATAACTTCTGCCGCAGCTGCAGCTGCAGCCACATCAGAAAGTACTTCTCCCACTACTGCTACTCCTACTACTAACATTAACAATACTACTAATACTAATACTAATACTAATACCAATACTACTAATACTTTTGGAGTTGTACCAAACGTCCCACGGAGGGTTAAACGAGCTCATCGTGTTGCTTCATTTGATGAGAGCTGCGCTAATCGGTACGCTGCCGAGACGGTTTCTGGTGAAAGTGCTTTGAGTCCAACTGCTGCACATCAAGCAAATGTAAACACTCCGGATGATTCTGTGCGTCAATCAATCTCTATATCAGTGCTTTCAAGAGGTGGGGATACTGATACGGATGTTGGGGATCAACATGTTTTTAATGAACGTGGTAAGGATATGCATAACACCAATGACGCACAAAGAGAGGAGAATGATACGATGGGAGTGCCATTAGATCTCACTTCCACCGCACGTCCTGTTTCTGAAGGTATTCAAATGAATAGTTATCCTATAGTCAGTATTCCTCAACCACCACCACCAGCATCAACAGCAGAAGAGGAAAAGCAGCAGCAGCGGTTGTCTCCCGACCCGGAAGAAATAGAAGATGAGGTAATAGATGAGGTAACTAGCGTTAGCAATAGCAGTGATGTTAGTAAGAGTGAAAACAAAGATAGAGAAAAGGAATTAAATGAAAGAAGAGAGAAAGAGGGGGTGAAACCGTCACTCACAACAGAAAATGGGAATGTACCACTATCGAATCCTACATGGGAGTTAGATGACGATAAACTACCATGGGAAATATAGAGTATTTTATTACCCTTCACTTTGAATCTCTGTCAATGTTTTTTTTTTTTTTTTTGTGTGTGTGTGTGTCTGACTCTATCTCTTTTTTTTTTTTGTATGTTTGTATATGTTTATCTGTAATTATCTTTTGTACACATCCACCAATACATGCGCACCCGCGCTTCTTTCTTTCTCTTCCTTCTATATAATGTGTACATTCCTTTCTTTTTTTTTTCCCAATTTTCCATCGCCCCCTTATTGTTTTCCTTTTTTTTTTTTTGTTGACTCTCCTACCCTCTTTCTTTCACCCATTAAAAGAAAAAAAAAAAAAAACACCATGCTTTTTATATGTGTATATGTGCATACATTTTTCTTTATCTCTCTTTCTCTTTCTCTTACTCTCCAATTTCTCTTGAATAACAACATAGGCAGTACTCACTCAATCACACCCCACTTACTGTATTCCTCTATATATATATATATATATATATATAAAGGAAAGGGGAAATAAATAGGTATTATTCTCTTTCTCTTTATTTATTTAATGCACAAACGCGGTCGCGGGGAGGATGAGGTGGTGGAAGTCTACGCGGCGTTACTGCGGCAGAGCGGGGCGCGGGCGGTGGAGCGGGTCCGACAGCGCCGCACACATCCGGCCCCAATAGACGCGTTGGTGATTCGGTACGCCATGTACTTTCTCGACACCCGCGGCTTTCCCCCACTCAGTTACGTTACTCAGGCCCAACGCGTGATCACAGAGGCGATTGAGCGTGTTTCCCAACCACAGCACTACGCCTACGTGCCACTGCCCGCACTTGTGGAGTCATTAGTCGCTGAGAACACAGCGGAGGTGATGCAGCAGACAGTTGCGGCGATTGAAGAGTTTATTGACGCACGAGATGCGTTGGGTCGATGGATTGATGAGAACGCAGGCGGTATGGATGATTATAATGATAATGAAGAAGAAACCGATACGGCTGTAGATCTAGCAGGAAAATTATGGCATAGTGCACTCTATTGGGTTGCTGTATTGGAGTACATTGAGGCGTTATCACTAAGCAGCGCTAAAGTGAATGCCTTTGCATTGCGGCCAAAGTATGAAAAGGCATTGATGGATTTGTTGAATTCTGTTGCCGCCCCACACTATGCAGGGTATCGACAGCAAAAAGAACAATCCACTTCAGCTCTTGTTCTTCCTTCGAAGGAATCTACTTCCTCTTCCATGACTGCTCCTACTACTACTACCACTAATAATAATAATAATAATAATAATAATAATAATAATAATAAAGGTGAGGTTTCTGAGAATGATGAGGCTAAACCTAATAGTAGTAATATTGACGGTGGGGAGTTTACCACAGATTCAGGGACTGCTGGAGCTGAAGTAACGGCGATGGAGACTGTCAAGGAGGAAACACTAGAGAAAAACTCGGTAATACCTGAATCAACAAGAGAAGTAAATATTAGTTCTGTTTTGGGTAAACGTAGTGATCACCAAGAGGCGGAATTAGCACGTGCAGCCTCTGTAAACCGATTACTAGCTGCTCTTACGGCTTTAGCCAATTGCCCTACGGATAATCCAGTCGCTGCTGGGATCAATCCAACATTCTACTCTATGGTTCATGCAAGATTAAATGTTTTGGCGGCGTGTGATCGTCTAAATCGATTTGGCAATTCCTCTGCAGTTGCACCGCCGCCACTCACACCATCTTTACAACAATTACAAATGCAAAAAGATGTCGCCGCTGATGCTCGCAAACGACGAGAGGCCACTCGGCAAAATAGAGATGATATTGGAGTTCCACTGGACTTTGTTCCCAATGAGGCGTATATGCGGGCGGCACTGGAAAAACAGAATGAGGTATTAGGCGAGGATGAAGAACTCTTTAAGGATGAAATTGTGGATTACTACAAACAACACCCACAAGGTGGTCCAACAAGGCGATGGAATACACCTAATGTTAATAATAACCGAATACAACAACAACAACAACAACAACGTCCAGAAGAGTCTACGGCGCTTGTGAAACCGCATAGATTCTGTAAGGTGAAGACTGGATACACATGGACACAGTATAACCGTACACACTACGATGCACGTACAAATCCTCCTCCACGAAGTGTATTATGGTATGAGTTCACACTTTTTTATCCTGCTCTTGCGAATACGAAACGAGATATGAGTCGTATTTATCATATTGAAGATACCATAAGAGGACCTAATGATGATTATTGTATCTTAGTATTTTCTGTGGGGCCACCATATGCGGATGTTGCCTATCAAATAGTGAGAAAACAATGGGATACACGACCAGGTGGTGTAAGGGCAAGTTTTGACAGTTCAGGAACATACCGACTCTTCTTCCGCTTTACAAACAGCAATTACCGTCGTTAATTCTTTTTTTCTTTTTTTTTTTTTCAGTACTCGATCAACACACTGACGACACACAAAAAGAAAAAAAAAAACAACAACAACAACGGATATAACAATGAACGAGAAAGAGAGAGAAAGAGATGCCAATACTATATTGGTGCTTTTCTTTAATGTATTGATGAGAGGATATTTATTAATGGCATCTGCGGTACTGCATGTTGTTTTCTTTTGGGTTGGGGAAGGGAAAGTTTGTTCTTGTAGCTTCAAGGAGAAGTGTATGATGTGTGGTAACTTCCCCTCCCTTTCCATCGACTAAGTTTTTCATCACATGTTTCTGAGAGCATTTATTTAGGCTCTGATAGTGATAGTTGTGAATATTAATAATTTTTTTTTTTCCTTTTTTCTTTTTTTTTTTGTTTTTTTTTCTACTATTTCCTTTATATATTTTCTTTTTCATATCTCTCCTGTGTGTGATTTTCTCTCTCTCTTTCTCTCTCTTTTGTACAGCACGAGACTCTTACAGTAAAATACTCGTACTAGTATAGTAATAGTAGTAGTATTAGTATTGGTATTTACAAAAAAAAAAAAAGGGGGAAGAAAAGTAAATAAAAGAGAAAAAATATAAATATATAAATAAATAAATATATATATATATATATATATATATATATATATAGTAGCGTTACTATTTATTTTCAGATATGACCATCTTACATAATCCTGGTGTACCACGCGTTCTAAACCGTATTACTCCAGAGCGACTGGAGTTGACACTTATACTTATCAAAGAACGCAAGAAAAAGTTGCGGTATCTTGGTAGTTATCTTCAGCATTACAATGACCGTATGTTTCTCTACAATGGTATGGGTGGACTCAAAGGAAGTAAGTTTATTATTGAACGACACCATCATCGTGCACAGTTCTCTCAAGCTACTCTTCATAGAGATCGCTACAGTGTTCGTAGTATTAAATTAAAAGGTTCACAGTTTGATCAATTAGGAAATTTTACACGAAATACATGGGACTGTTCGACGGCTTCTACAAATGTCTTTCAGGAACCCACATTTCGCCGTCATCTCAGTGCTATACACAAAGATGAAGCCATCGCCTTTTTAGAAGGATGGGGTGTAAAGTACGTTTTACTGGATGAAATACGGAAACCATCCGTTGAGGATAGTATCTATATTAAACATAAACTGTATGCAGATAAATTTTCTTACATTCCATTTCCCGTTACAAATGCATACTACGGTGATGCTGACTGGAAATGGAAGGGAAATGAAAAGATAGATTACAGTAATTATGGAGCCACAGTAAAAGATGATCGGAATACATTTCGAAGTTTATGGTCAGCTGCAGTGAGTGCAGCTCGTAGTAATCCTCTCACTGCGGGAAAGAAGAAAATGACATCCGGAGAGACAGCATCAACAGGGGCAAGTGTGGATCCGAAAAAAACAGGATGAATTGAATGGGAACATTATTGAATTAGTTAATATGGTTGTAGTGCCACGAATAATAAGAAAAAAAACAACAACAACAAGAATTAGGAAGTGTAGTGATATTAGTCATTATTTAAGAGGATGAAGGGGGAATTGTGGGGGAATTTTAATAGAATGGGTAGTGAAGTTTATGGCTCTTTTTTTTTCTTTTATTTGTTATAGTGATTATTTTTATTTATTTTTTTTTTTTATGAGTAGTGGTTTATTGTTATGTATTTCATTGAGTATGTGAGTTTATGGACTACATTCTGTTGCCTATTGGCACCTGTTATTATTATTATATATCCCCTCACCAATTTGTTTAGTCATTGTTTTTTTTTTTTTTTAACTTACTTGTTCTTTTTTATTCAGTTCTTATATTTGACTTTTACATTACAACAATCACATTTCCTTTCTTCTTTTTTTTTTCCTTTTTTCTCATCACTTATTTAGTCGTTTGAGTTCGCCTCTCGTGGCAGGCGAAATAGTGGGGGGTTTACATAGCACCAAAGAAAGAAAGAAAGAAAGAAAGAGAACCTTTTTATATCTATCTATCTATCCTCTACCTTTATTAGTACCATTGCTACCCCCAACCCCCATCCACTCTGTAGTTTAGTCCTCATCTCTACATAAAAATGCTGCACTGCACGAATGCCTTCCGCGCGGCCTCGCCCGGCGTTGGCATCGCCCCCGAGACAACACCCGTCAAGTACGTCCCAAGTATGCTGAACATCAAAAACATGATGTGGTGGAATGGGCGCCGCAGTCCATACCGCGCGGCTTATCGCGAGAAGACGTGGTATGAAGTCAGCCGCATCGGCGCCCGCACAAAAGGCGGCCGGTCCATCATGCGGCAGAAGTACTCCCCGGAGGCCCTGCGACTCGCACTCGCGATGGTGCCGGCAGAGTTTGAGGTCGCCGATGTGCCGCGGCCGCCGCAGCGGATATTGGCGCAGTCCGAGGGGATTGTCGGCCGCTGGTATAGTAACTTCTGGACACTGCACGCAGTGAAGTATCAGTGTATGCTGGCAGGGGTGGAATGGCCTTTTGGGGAGCGACAGAAACCACGTACAAATTACGAAGAGCCATTCTTTTTTGTAGACTTTGAAGAGAGTAAGGCTATACGGGACTACAGAAGTCGATGGATTAATGTTAATCGCAGTCTAGTAGGGATGTCCAAACGCATAAAAGAAGCTGAAGAGGAGGCTCGATATATGCAGTTTCGCAGACAACAAGACACTTTTTGGTCTAACCGTAAAGTGTTGGTGAACCGTGTGAAGTCCATGTATAACCAAGGTACAATGACCTCAGCAAAGGATCTACCCATCAAAACACTCAATATTAAGGCATTTCTCGCAGAGTGAGTTTTTTTTCTTTATTTTTTTTTCTTTCTTTGTTCTTGTGTAGAAAGACTCGGAAGTGGTAAGAAAAACATCTGGAGAAAGAGGAAAAGAAAAAAAGAATGATGGATGAATGGATAGATGGATGAAAAGTACAACAACAACAACGAAGAGACGAAAGAAGGATTGGAAATAGGGAGATGCGCTCCCGTTGCAGGCGTTTTTTATTTTGTTATTATTCTTGGTTCTTTTTTTATTCAAGTAATGTTTCTTTATATTGGCATGTAATACCTTTTCATTAACGCTTCTGTTCTTTATGATCTTTTTTTTTCTTTTTTTCATTATATTCTCCTCTATCTTGATACACTCCACTTTATCTGGGGAAAAAAAAAAGAAAAAAAGAGACTCCAGTAAGAAAGTTACTAATATACGACCAGTATATCGTTTTTATTTATTTTATTTTATTTTATTTTTTTTTGGGTGACTCTACTTAATATATACTGCATATATAATAAATAAATATTTATATATATATATATATATATATATATATTACTATTGGATGCTTCGACGAACATTACAATGTTTTGTTGGGGCTAAGTGGTTGACACCAGGATGTGTGCCACTCCGCGAGAGTGATCCTGAAATACACAACCTCATCCAATCTGAGCTGCGACGTCAACGGGAGGGATTGGAACTTATCGCCTCTGAGAACTTCACATCACGCGCCGTATTGGATTGTCTTGGTTCTATTCTAACAAACAAATACGCAGAGGGTCTTCCTGGGCATCGTTACTATGGTGGTACGGATGTAGTGGATGAAGTGGAGCGGTTGTGCTGCCGCCGCGCCCTCACCGCATTTCGGCTTGATCCCACACAGTGGGGTGTTAACGTGCAGCCCTACAGTGGATCACCGGCGAACTTCGCAGTATATATTGCCCTTTTGCAGCCCCATGATCGCATAATGGGTCTTGATCTCCCCGCTGGTGGGCACCTCACTCACGGTTATTATACAGCCCAGCGTCGTATTTCAGCGAGCTCTATCTTTTTTGAATCCCTGCCGTATGGTCTCACCGCAGAGGGTGTGGTGGACTATGAGGCTCTGCGCCGCACAGCAGAGGTGTATAAACCCAAACTTATCATCGCCGGTGGTTCTGCTTATCCTCTCGATTGGGACTACAAACGTTACCGTGAGATATGTGATGCTGTTGGGGCTCTTCTTATGGTGGATATGGCACACATATCAGGATTGATAGCCGCTCAGGAACATAATGATCCTTTTATGTATGCAGATATAGTAACATCTACAACACATAAAACACTTCGAGGGCCACGATCTGGTCTTATCTTCTTTAGGAAGCAAATTACACGTGGAAAAGAAGTAATCCATACAGAAGATCGTATTAATAATGCGGTGTTTCCTGCATTACAAGGTGGTCCACATATGCATCAAATAGCAGCTGTAGCCACACAATTAAAAGAAGTCAATACCCCTCTTTTTAAGGAATATATTATTCAAGTAAAGAAAAATGCTAAATCTTTGGCTAAGGCTCTTATGGATAATGGACATTACTTGGTATGTAATGGTACAGAGAATCACCTTATGCTGTGGAATTTACGACAACATGGTATAACGGGATCAAAGGTTGAGAAATTGTTAGATGAGGTTCATATTACGGTAAACAAAAATACAATCGTAGGTGATAAAAGTGCCTTGGTACCTGGTGGTGTAAGGCTTGGAACACCTGCCCTCACTACTCGTGGGCTAAATGAAAAGGATTTTGCACAAGTTGCACAGTTTCTAATTCGGGGTGTGGAGATAGGCAAACGTCTACAAAAGGAAAATCCCTCTTATAAGTTAGTGGAGTTTGTGCAAGCCTGTAAAAATGACGCAGATATTAAGCATCTCGCAAAGGAAGTAGAATTGTTCTCTCATCAATTCCCTTTTCCTACTGCTACTACTACTACTACTTCTTAGGAAATTCCCCACATAGTGAGAATATTGTTGGTTATTTTCTTGATACTTTATTTCTTAACTAATACCAGAAAGCGTTATTATTGTTATTATTATTATTGTTATTTTTTATTTTTTTGTAACGCATGGAAAAGTTACCATCATGCGTAAATATTGGAGTGGCAGTATTACTCTGATATTTGTGTTTATACGTGCACACACATATCTACAAACGAGGGCTGAGGGGAAACCTCATTCTTCTTTTTTTTTAATTTCTTTCTTTTTTTTTTCCAGGTAGTGAAAAAAAATATATATATTTGTATATTTTTTGTTTTTATCACTCTCCCGAGTTATTGCCAGGGTGGTGGTGTATACTCAACTGTTGATTTTATGTTAATGGTTAGAAATATTCAAATACCTATTGACTATTCTTTGATATTCTTGCCATGCAATTTTTATTTTATTTTATTTTATTTTATTTTTATTTTTTATTTTCTTTACTAAAAGATCAATGACCTTATTAGTCACCTTGACTGTTTTCATATTTTTCATCTTCCACTTTCAGCAGAAAGGAGGGTGGGGGATAGTAAGAGGATGAACAAAGGAGAAAATATTCTTTTTTTTTTGATTCTCAAATACCACTTATATAGGTGAAGATTTTTCAGTTTTGGGAAGTGTGTCTTCTCAATTTTCTCTAATGTTTGGACAGAGAGGAAACTAAAAGTTTCTGATTTATTCTTTTATTCTTATCTTTTTTTTTTCTTACCTTCTTTCTTCTTTTTTTCTTTCAGTGGGAACAGTCGAAAACTATTTTCACTGGGTGAATAGTAGTACGGTATCATCTGAAACACTCCCACCTCCCTTTTTTTTTGTTTTCAAATTTGTTATTCTCAATTCTATTCAACTTACTTAAGGGCGTTTTCTTAGTAATCGCAATGTTACTAATTGTTTTCTTATTGCTTACATCTATTGCTAATCTATCGGTAAACGCAAAATACAACTACGACACGGTTACAAACAATGATGCAGAAGATTTTGTTAAATTGGACCAACAGGATCGGGGGGAAGATTTATTTGCTGCTGAGAAAGAGATGATTAAACAAATGATGGAAGATAATCTACGGCAAGAAACGGCACGACGAGAGTGGCGTCGACGAATTCACCTCTCATTCTTGGAAACACATCAACGTATTAGTGAGCGTGATACAGTACATATTAAAGATATGTTTTCACCATCCATACGAGCTGATTATCTGCGAATGCGTCGCATCATACGACAACAGAATGATGGCGGGACATTTTTAGAAGATATCTTAACACTTGTTCTCTGGACTATCCCTTTTATTACCCTCTTGGTGTGGCAATTCCTAGGGTAATTACAATGACACTAACAATAGTGTCGTCATCTGCTTGGTGGATGTAGTGGTAAAGTTGTTACCTTCTAATAACACGAACACCACCTCTGATTATCTTTCTCACTACCATCACTCTCTTTCTATCCATCTACGTTAATGTGACTGCAGTATTGAGTCCGCCGTACACTGCACCAGATGTTAATGACGCACCTCACTTTTTTTTTTTCTCTCTTCCCTTCTTTGCTCCTTGTTTCTTTCTCTACTGTAGACAGCATTCATTACATGCCACAGCAAGCTAACAAATTGAGTGCCCGCACACCCGCCACAGTGCGCCAGTCACTGTACGTGATGCCGCTGCTTCTCCTGCTGTTGTTTCTGTGCTGCGCCAGTGTGTGTGTTGCGCAGAAGGACGGCGGCGTGCAGTCGACTGGTGTTGTGCGGGAGTTGCCCCGCAAGGGACAGAGTGGTGTGCAGGCGTACACCGTCGCCACTGAGAAGAATGAAGGATGGGAGCTGATCCGCATTGAGGCGTTCACGAAGGACTTGGAGAACCCATCAGAATACTGCAGGAAGGTAAAGGAGAACAATGTAAATGGTGGAAGAATGGAATGCAGTACATCATTTATTACCGCTGAACAAAAGAAGGACATTGAGGAGAAAATCATTCCCGCTGCAAAGAAGTTGCATGAGGATCGTCTGTTTGTTCGTCGTGGGAGTGGAAAGTTGAAGGTTCCTCTATTTGAAGTTAATAACGATTGCAAACATTTCACTGTACCCGAAGAGCACCACAGTGATGGTGTTGACGCTGACTTTGTGCTCTACGTAGCTGCCGTACAGTGGCATTGGGGGTCTGGTGTCACATGTGCCGTGGAAAATTCAACGGGTCGTCCAATCGTTGGAGCAATGAATTACGTTCCCCAATTACAGGATGGCATTCGGTTTAATGTTCGCCGTATTGCACGCGAGATTGCACACGCACTGGGATTCAATTTTGTAGAGATGGAGAAGAAAGGCATTGTGACCGAAGTGGAGCTCCGTGGCGCGAAACGTAAGGTGGTGAACTCCTCAAAGACAGTGGAAAAAGCACAAAAACACTACAATTGTCCTAATTTGAAGGGAATGGAACTGGAGCCTCACAGAGGCCATACGCAATATCACTGGGCAAAGCGCATTGCAAAGGATGAGTTGATGGCACTGTCGTACTTCGATAACGGCGGTTACTACACGGCACTGACAATGGCATTATTTGAGGATCTGCAGTACTACAAGGCAAACTGGGGAATGGAGGAACAAATGAGCTGGGGGAATCAGAGTGGATGTGACTTTCTTGAGAAAAAGTGCATGGAGAATAATATTACACGCTATCCTCAATATTTCTGTAATGAAACGATTTNGAACCAGAATGGTGTGTGTGCACGGGTGTTGTGTGACTATGAGAAGCGAACAGTGAAGGTGCAGTACAAAGGTAAGGAAGACGAAAACGATTGGTACGAATGCCCTGAAAACGGTACAATCGTTGTCGAATCCCCTGCGTTCGAAAGCGGTGGTAAGATCAAGTGTCCCAAGTACGATGAGGTGTGTACCATCGCATTCAACGGCAGCAGTCATGTTCCATTTGTTGTTAATCGACCTCCAGCAGCAACGGCAGAAGAATCCGCATCATCTGTGGACACATCTGTGCAGGGAGATCAGGTAAATAACGGTACCGCTACTAATTCACGCAGCAGAAGGGATACTACTGGTGTTACTTCTTCCACAACTTCCAATAACACTCAGGCTGCTGCCGCTGCAGGTGTGACCTCACCAAGTGGAGAAGAGAATGCAAACACCAATGCGC